ACTGATATCCGGCAAAGATGTTCCTACTCGGAACGGTACTCAGAACAAAATACATCCAACATCAATAATCAGTGGATACAGGGTAGGCTCTCAAGTCTGCTGTTGAACGTGATGACATCGTTGTCCAGCCTCTCGACACAACTCTTGTTTCCTGCACCAAAAAGAGTGATAGCTGCAGGCAACCGCGGGGGCCAGTGTTAAAAAGGCGCAACGAATGCATATGATGCAAATTTATGAATTTCGACAAGTGAGTAGTTTTTTTGACAAGAGATTTATCTGACAAGRGAGTCCTTTTATGCCCAGAGATTTATGGATTTTGACAAGAGAGTAAACAAAAGACTCCTTTTTTTACAAATCTTTTTTCATCACCTCTTTCACCTAATCCCAATTACAACTACTTATATAGAACACAATTTAGATGATTCTAGAAACCCTAGTTACATAATCCTAACGAAGGCCCAATATCTTCTTGGCCCAAGCCTAAGCCCACTTGCTCTTCTTCTTCCTCACGTTGCTCTGTTTCTCGAGAAGGCAGGGGAGCTTTACTTCAGAGAGCTGGTACCGGAGCTGATTTCTTCTATTTTGACTCGACTTCTTGTGGGGCTTTTGTGGGTTTTCTTCTGCTATTGTGGTAGTAATGCTTCATTGACCATCTAGGTTTAATTTCGTCTGGTTTTTAGGGTAAATTACTTTTTTTCCAGATTTTCCCGGGAAACAATTTCTCTCAGTTATGCTTGTAACTTGAAAATTTGAATTTGTTAGATTCTATATCACGAGTAGCTCAATCATTGACTCCAGGTTGGATAAATTTCTCTTTGACATGGTTTCAATTAGGTTTCAACATGTTGCGTTGCAAATCTCAGAATCTTACATGTCTTTGGGTATTCGGCATTAGTTTGACAGGTGCCGCGAATTTTAAATTTCAATTGAGTTTCGATTTAGAAAATGGATATATATATATATGTCAAATCTTGGGCCATGGTTAATACAAAAGGGTTTAAGAAATTGTTTATGAAAAGCCAAAAGCCCATATACCACAAGCCCATCCAGATAAGGGTTTCGAATGTTATTG